ATTCCTGTTTCCAGATAGACAGAAGGCCACATCAGTCACTCTGCTCAATAGAAACATAATTTTATAAAAGTGCACAGTATATTTGATTGTCTGGAACTAAAGGTCGAACTGCAATTAACATAGCACTACATTTAAAGTGGCACAGATTTTAAGGTAGCACAGAATTTAACATGGAACTCTATTTAAGGTAGCACTAAAATTAAAGTGGCACAGAATTTAAGCTGGCACTGAATTTAAATGGCTAATCTTAAATTTGGAGCTAGTATGCTGTTTTTGCGCTTGTTTCACATAGCTTCTCCGAAAAATCACACAAACTTCGGCAAAATGTTTTTTATTACCAAAAAACCTTTAATAACAAACAGTGATACTGTAGAATAACAGAGTCCTTAAAAATGAGTGTCGTCTATCTCAGCTGAGAACGGAGAAATGTCTGGCTGAGTCCCATAGGAGTCATGCTCAGCAACACCCCCAGCCCAAGGGCGAGGCTGCAATTATTCGCTGTTGATAACTGCCGAAGTTTCTAAACCCCAAAACACCTTAATGACGCATAAACTGCACATCACGCTAACCGCATCCAATCAACAGACCCTCCAGATGGAAAACGAACGAGAAAGCTTGTAATGCTTAATATGGCATCTGTGTACATGGAAAGTCCTGCCCTCCAATAAAAAGAGCAAATCGGTTTGCTGGTAAAGATGCAAACAAGGAAAAACCCTCTTGTTGTGGAGATGTACGGAAGTGCAGTAGCCAGGACAAACAGAAAAAACATGCGTTTTGTAAATAATTTGAGCAAATTCTACAAATGAATTATTGCGATTTTTGTCAGATTTCATCAATGATTTTAAATGTTTTTGACGATCTGTCACTCAGTTTTGCGTTTATAGGCCTCACCATAATCAAAGACAAGAGTCGGGACTGTAAATAATTGCCCAGGGCTTTTGCCAAGATGTCTGTGTCGCTGGATGTTGTCGAGTCTTTGTAAAGTAAGTCATTACGTCCTCTGCCGTAACTCAATAGGTAGGAGGGTATATAGAGAAGAAAAGGTGGAGAATAATTTGGAGATGAGCAGCTCATGGTTGAAGGTGAAAAACCAGTACTACACAAGTTTAAACTACTTTTAAATGAAGCCATGAAAACAGGTGGAAACGCAGGAGCTGCACAAACCAGTGATCACCAGGCCGGAGACGCCAACTGCTATAAAGTGAGACAAAGACCAGATAAGACAATTGTACTTGGCAAGACCTGAGAGTGTCAGGGTGTTTTCACACTTGGGCCGTTTCAGTGTCTGAAGTGGACTCAGACCGCGGAGTCATGGTGTCTTTTGCGTATGTGAACACACCAAATGAACTCACCCTTTAAACGGCCCCAAAAATGAACCAAACTCGGACCATCTCTTGAGGTGGTCTCAGATTGGTTCGTTTGTAGTCTGTTTTGCGGTTTGATTTTGTACATTTGTGAGAACAAAATGGCCCCAGTCCACTTCAGCTTTGCCTTACAGTGAAGACCTCAAGGCTCAGTGAACGCACAGCCACAGTCTTCAGCACTAAAACATCAGGGATCATTTGTAAGGTTCTACTCCGGATAAAGCCTGTCTGTGATCTGCAGCAATACAGCAGCGCAGACATATTAAAGCGATAAAATGAGAGCCCGCATGGTTTTACCGTGTTAAAGGCTCAATTTTAAGCTGCTTCCACACCGATCTGGATTTTCGCTGGGCGGAGCTCAGTAATGAGCACAGCCAAAAACGGAACCCGCCGCGGGTTTTTCAAATTTTTCGTGATGCACGTCGGGCAATCGTTTCAGCGCAGCCAATAGGAGAGCAGTAGGTGGGTCTGGTGGTTCCGCTTGCCACCTGAAAGGTTTGATTCATCATAGAACGCTGCCCACTTTGCGAGCGCTGCGCACACTGTGACTGCTGTGTAAGGGGCCTGAGTTCTAATGGAGTTGTGGTCTAAACACAAAGTGCTCTGAGATCTCAAAGGACCAAAAAGAAAACTGAGTCCTCTTTACAGTTCACTTACATTGCAAACACAAAAGGCACTGAGGTCATTTGCAGTTGTTTCACTTTAAAAGAACTCAGTTTGGCTCTTTTAAAACGAACTACATGTGAAAACACTGTCGGAGAGCCATGATGATGATGATGATGATGATGATCTTGATGGTTTGGAGGTCATAGGGCAGAGAATCCGAGAGGCTGAGCAGAAGGTGGTAGCAGCAATGTCTGGAGGCAGTTCTGAAAAAGAAGTAGAAGTGGTGGTAGAGACAGACAAGACCTGTTAAGGTGATTGGAATGTTTTGCGGTTCCTCCTGACAGAGAACTCTCACAGATGGAGAGACTGCAAGAAGAGCTGAGAACAACTGTAAGAGAGATGATCTGATAAATGAAGATAATCTGATAACCGAAGTGGTGAGACACTTGAGGGAGAAAGCAGTAGTGTGCTATAGAAGATAACATCTGGGATGTTTTTAGCTCTGTGAGATGGTGATGAGTGAGAACGGTCATGCGATCTGAGATGGTGGGAGGTCAAAGTCAAAAGTGGAGTCATTCTTGAGTTTGAAATATCCAAGCAGAACCAGCCATCTTCAGGAAATGAGCAGAAGAGGGAATCGAGTTCTTCAATAAAGCTGGAGGAGTGGTGGGACCAGAGAGGAGAACTATTTCATTTAGGTGAGTTGAGGGACGTTCAATTATATTAGTTTTTCATTGTACTTAAAAACAGTACAACTTCCACAGGCAGCGTTTACTGCAGCTACACTTAGCCAAGCATCACTGTCCAAAAAAAATAAGTGCTCTAACTTTGGTAAGTCAATATAAAGATATTTTGGTGCATTCATCAGGACATGTTTGCACAATGTAAAGGGCAGCTGCTGGGATGAATATATGGAGAGGAATTCGTGCCAACTTGAAATGCAATCACTTCAGCGGAAAAGCATGAAATGCAGTGCTGTAACGCTCGGACAGAAAACCAGACGTGTGCGGATGGTGAGTGCAGGTGGTTTAATATAAACCAAGCGGCCGTAGTCAAAAGGGGAAAAACAGAGATCGTAGTCAAAAAACAGTCGAAAAGTCAAAACACAGATCATACACACAAGCGAAAGTACCAAAGGAATAGGCATCAGGCCAAAACGGAGTCAAACGAAGCAAAAAGGTCAAACGCGGTAAACAATCAGAACAGGATGAAAAACGCTCAGTAGTCTCAGAGAAACAATACCTCGCAGTGATTCTAACTAAAGCCCGGGCTTATCTACTCTAAACTACCTGTCATATGATCATCAACACAGGTGAAAGCAGTCAAAACTCAGGGGATTGTGAGCGCTGATAGGAGCGCCTATGAGAGTCTGAAGTCACATGAGACTCCATAGTATCCTGGGAAATGGAGTTCTCGTCAGAGTCTGATTCCGAGTGCGGCTGCTCAGTCACATGATCTCCCAGAGAATTGGGAGATGATGTCTGTTTCCTCCATAGAGGGAGCCGAATGCATGACAAGCGCACGTAAGACATTACTCTTCTCTAGGGACTTGCAGAACATGTGTCTAAATAAAAAAGAAACTCTCTCTAGTAACGTCACCGAAAAACAGTTACTGAAAAACAATGCATCAGGGCTTGAATTTAATAAACAAAACGCTCAATTCATGTCAGAACTGAATAAAATCCACCTTGTAATGTAATAAAGGCACGACAATATAACTTTCCACTGCAGTTCTTTAAACAATGTTAAATCGGTGTAATTTACTTTTCATTTTGGCACATTTTCCACGTTATTAATTAAAGGCAATCTCACGAATGCTTTGTGTTTCATTGTTGTGGCTGCATTCTGAAGAGGCAAATACATCTGAAGTATAAAAAGAGATCACATGAAGTGATCTGTAACAGAGGTTTTCACTTTGCACAAACTTCTTTGGTATCGCCTTGTTGGAATGTGAAGTGAAAACAATAACAGAGGTTTTGCTTTGCATTTTGACACTTGTTCCACACATCACCTACGGCAAAGTAATGTGTGCATTACTTTGTATCTCACGTTTTTCCACTGTGGCAACTGCTTTTCTATTTGGTACAAATTCCTCTCCATACAAATAATGTAGAGATATGAAAGTGAAAAAATGGGTATACACGTGTGTGTGTGTGTGTGTGTGTGTGTGTGTGTGTGTGTGTGTGTGTGTTTTACAGCAGCAATATGGTTTAGCATTACCTGATGACTACTCTAAAAAGCGTGTCATGATTGCATTTCAATGGGGAAGCATTACAGCCGAGCATTCATTGCTTTTTAAAGTGAACTGTATTTAATTCTTTCACAAATTCAGCATTTTGTTTTTTAAAATGCAAATCCTCACGCATTGTTTTTCAGGAAAGAGATAAAGCGATGTAAAATGTAATCGAGGTTTTATTCATTTCAGCATGTATCCTGCAAGTCACAATAGAAAAGTAAAAGCTGCTTTGTGACAACACCTGTTGTAAAAAGCGCTATATAAATAAACTTTACTTACTAACTTTACTACTAATGTCGTGTGTGCATTATATTGCACATTTTCTACTGTGGTAACGATACAGTTCAGCGTTATGTGAGTATTAGCTAACCACTCTAAAAAGCATGTAAAAAATTGTTTGCTCGTTGTTTTGTTTTTTGGCAGCAATGCCATGTTCTACTGTGTGTCTGATATCTTAGTTTTTTAGAATCTTAGAATCTTCGAAGGGCTAATTAAACGCCATCGGTCTGAGACAACGCAGCCACGGACGCGCGATGCAGACAGGTGGCTGGAGATGGAGTGCTGTTTGTTTGCTCTGGCTGTTTCAAATGAATCACAAAACCCCTAAAAACTAAAGAGAAATCTTGAGACCAAACAATTACTCTTTTAGGAAGCCAGTGGATTATTATGAAAACAGGATGAACTGCACAAACTCCTCTGGCTGTATATAGCGATGCTCTTGTCTTTTGTCTAGAAAAATGCTGCTCTCTTTAATGAAGTAGTCAGTGTTTACAGTGTGTTCACAGTGCACTCACCTCACTCTGACTTTCCATCTTCATCGTGATGTCTTGGTCTGGAAAGGATCAGTTCAGCAAACGTTATTACATATATGGTTTATAGAAGTGCAGTTTATAGGTGTGCATTTTATATATATAATATAATTCCTACTTTATCACAAGCTAGTTATCTTAGTGTCAGGCCCCACTCAGCACACCTGCATGATGAACAACCTGTATTTTACTATACTGTTGGATTAATAAAGAGGTCCGCAGCATTTGACTGATGACAACGAGAAACCAAAACAAACAGAAATGCCATATGCATATGTGTGCACACACCAACACACAAAGACAAAGCTTAACCCTTCAAAATCCCAGGCGTGTTACATACTACGGCTTATAATCCATAACTACACAGACTACAATGCAAACTGGCGGAGTTATTCTTAGGTTACAGAAGCGTGTAGGAAAACTTTGGACCCACTGGTGGGTTCAGGCAATTTAAGGAGTTTAAGGGGAATTCCACCAATTTCTACAAATTTCTGCATAATTCAGTGGTTGAAATGTAACGAAACTCATTCAGAGTGGTTTGATGTGAGAGAAACTTACTGACTCTGCAGTGACTCTGATTTCTCTGCAGTAGTGCTGATGTCTGAATTGTCTGAATTTTTATATGTAATGTTGATGATGGTGATACAGTACATAGTACATTTTTTTAGGGGACTATTTTGCATATAATGTCTCAAGCAACTTTCTGTGAAGTCAGTTTTAGAGGCATTAAACGCTCCAGACGTCTGGTTTCTATTACCAACATTGTGAACAATTCTGAGCCTAAGTTTTCTCTAAAATGGAGCATTTCACATTAAACCAGTCTGAATTACTTTTTTACAGTTTAATAAAATATTTATGCAGAAAAAATAGTGGAACTTCCCTTTAAATTTGACAAAGCAAAGCTTAGATTTTAATTTGGGAGGTCCGGAAACATTTGGGTGCTGTTTTTTGCACATGTATTTCACATTTCCCTTTTCAGCTGATTTAAACAGAAGTAGGAAGCTCTACACTGAATATTACTGTAATAAATTCTGAGCATTTATTAATAACACTCCACATAACCCTTTGAGCACTGTACAACTGCACACTTTTCAAATAAAATCTACTTTTATCATAAAGCCGATTTCACAATGAGGTCGTCACGATGTTATTTGAATTATTCTCATCTACAGTATTAGTTGAAAATTACTCCTCTGAAGTAGCCTTTCTTCCACGATGTGCAGCCTCACGTCGTGGAACACTTACATTTTCTCTACATTCCACAAAAACAGTAAATTCTGTAACTGTTCATTTATTACTGTTAATTTTAAAATGCATCCTTCAACATGGCCATAATTAATAACCTCACATTACCAACACTTCTGCACCTAAATTCAGATACAACTCATATGCAGTGATAGATTCCACAGCAGCTCTACTCTACCACACACCATTACATAGTAATAACAAAACTAACAGCTCCTCTATAACACAATTATACAATATATTGTATAATGCATATCAAAGACAGAGGATTTTGGACTGAGTACAGTTGTAACATGTTAAATATCATCTTTGCCTTCCAAGCTTCGGTTGCCCTTTTCATATCGCGCATGCATATCATCAGGTTTGAACATCTTTAGTCAAATAACGTGTGTTATCTATCTTTCTTCTACGTGAAAAGTCCTCTACAGGGAACACGCTTCAGCTTGTGGAGGAAAATATTAAATATAAAAGCCCCATAATTTTTGATAACAGGCCACATTTTTTTTTTTTTTCCCTTAATAAGGCAAATACAAAATATTTTTATTTACATTCAAATTCAAACTGCATATATCTAGTGGTATTATTTTTGTATTGTTTAATAATTAGTTTAGTTGTTGTTGTTGAAGTTTGATGCTTATATTATGAATTACTTTTTTTGTTCTTTTTAAAAATAAAGATTGAACAGGAATGAAAGAGTTGTTGCGTACAGCAACAGACAAAGCTTGACGATTGTTTGCACGCTAATTTTGGAAATTCTGAACTACAAACATGCATTTTTGACTCTTAATTTGTTAGTAGGCAGATAAGAAACACACAGAAAACCAAGGTGATTTTCACCTGTAGTGCTTTGTAGTAGTGAAAAAAACAGCTACATGACAATTAGACACACAGGCTGTGTCCCAAACCGCATTATACAGTGTGTAAAAATAGTGCAACATCACTAGAAATGCATTTATTAGTGCAAAATCCCTGTTCAAAAATATAGAAATCCCATCTTTTATTATTTAAGGCTTTTCTTGATGGGTTGATGTACAGGAAACTACTGGTTTCTAATAGCAACCAATAAGCCAATTAATTTAAAACCTGTTATGTTTTAAATTAAAGGCTCTATTTTTTCCAGCAGGGTTGTAAAGTATAGAAGTGCACAAATTCTAATTGTGTAAAAGGATAAAGCCACCAATTTTTAAAAAAATTCTACATAATTAAATAGCCGAAATGTAAGCAAAGTCGTTTGGAGTGGTTTGGTGTGAAATGCTCTGTTCTAAATAAACTTACAGAGTCAGGACTGTTCACGGTGGTGATGGGAACCAGACGTCCACCTCTGAAAGCTCCCGCACAGAAAGTTACTACATGAAATGGTCAAATATGCTGCCTGATGTCTGAGACACTGTTTATGATAGATTTGTGATGAAGTTTTGGCTTAAAATGTCCATTTATTTGAATTCATTCATGGCGGAGGGGTACATGCAGGGCGTTGTGAGGCAAAACAGTCCGCAAAGAAAATTATTTTTTTTCAGATTCATGACTATTTGACCATTATCAACATTACATATAAAACTTGGACTATATGTGTGGGTTCACTGGTGGTTTTGGGCAGATAATAAATTGGCTGTATTTGTGATGTAGATATTGTGACCCCAGGTTCCCATCACCACCACTGTAAAGAAATGTCAGTGAGTTTCTCTACAATGAACAATTTCACATCAAACCACTCTGAATGACCCCGAATTATTCAGAAAATTTGAAAAATTGGTGGGATTGCCCTTTAAACGACACCAAACACACCAGCACCACACGGACTAGCGCTGCAACCAAACTAACAACCACACCGCGCTGCACCTACACTTCAGGCCCTGTCACGTTATAAATATCAGCACTGCTGACCGCACTGCTCTGAGTGGTCAACATGCTCCAGTCTAAATGCGTGAGTGACGGAAGTTTCTGTCCTTAACTGATAAAAACCGTTAAAAAGTGCGCGTGCGCGGGCACGAGCAGCTGACAGGAGGTGCACAACTGCCAAAACAACTCGAGTTTAACTTTCGTACAGACACACCTAAAACTCGCTCCCTCAGACAAAAAAGGCCATTTTTCATGGTTTTAGTGATAAACGATCTTACCGTGTTACTCGGTCAGCGCCGAGTGTTCGGGTGCTGCTGCTGCGGTGGAGAAACATGGACTTTCCGCTGTTTCCACCACCAGAACCCGCAGAGCTGAATCGCCACAGCGTCACTCCATCACTCCCGACTGCCCACTGACCAAGAGCAGCACTTAGGAAGAAGCCCCACCGTTTAAACTCCACACAAACTACTGACCGCCTCAAAACCGCGTCCAGCTTTCAGCCTCCACATCGAAAACAACGGAGAGGTGAAGAGTGAGGAGGATGTGGGCGGGGTTTTCAAATGTAAGTAGCATTTAATAACATCATTCACAGTAAATAAAAAAAGGCCTACCTAGAACAAACCTAGACGAGAACCGTGAAGACTCTCTGTAATTTTATCTGTAATTTAGATAGATAGATAGATATTTATATAGATCTAGATATATATAAAATGTGTGTGTGTGTGTGTGTGTGTGTGTGTGTGTGTGTGTGTGTGTATATATATATATATATATATATATATATATATATATATATATATATATATATATATGAGAGATATATAAATGCTACATATAGGTAGTAGGTATTTAGGTAAAGAGTTTTAGGTAGCATCTTTTTTTATGATGTTTAATTCGATTGGTCGTTTGTCGCATGTTTTTATGTGCACACATGATTAATTACAGCCTGTGAATCTAAACCCGGATGAACAGAGAAAGCTGTTAACTGCTGTTGTAAAACAAGTTAGCTAAAAATGAAAAATTAAAAACGCTTGAGCTCTAAAATGATTAAACTGCGAAGGATTCATAGCACATCTGTAATTTTTAGATGTTAACCAGACATAACTGTCTTCAGGAAAGCTTACAGTCATATCCAAAAGTTTGGGCACCTTTGGTCAAATAACGTGCTCTGTGATGATAAAGAGAAGATAAGTTAATAAACTGACTTCAACAGTGGCTTCCTATGACAGTATCACGCTAGAATTCAGTGAGCTCTTTAGACCCATTCTTTCACTGACGTTTGCGAAGGCAGACTGCATGGCTAGATGCTTGATTTTATACACCTGTGGCCATGGGACTGAATGAAACACCTAAATTCAATGATTTAAGAGGTGTGTCCCAATATTTACGTCTATATAGTGTAGAAAGATGGTGAAATTCCAATGTAATTGGAAAACAGCACCTCTCCTCTTTGCAATAACATATTCTCACCTACTGCGCTCGTTCTGTGTCAAAATGCCTTTGAAATTGCGTCTGACCGTGCATTTTCATTTTCATGGTCTTCCCAACCTGTCAACCATCCCAACAGGGCAGGCCCAAGAGTGTGCTCAGCAGAAAAGACAATCTAAAAACAAGACGGTTAAAGAGTTTTAGCTGCTCTTACATTACCAGATGAGATGAAGAAGAGAAATATAGCCACTTGTGATGCTTAATGTCTTTATACACGTCCCCATGACAAAGCGTTTAATCACAGTTTTCTGGTTTTTCGATCTGGTTGATAAAAACAGGTCCTTCTCACCAGCTTCTTTCATGAATTTTCCAGTCTACCTTAAACAGTGCAGTGCCCGAATGTTTCAGTAGCGCCGTTTAAGGTGGAACAGAAAATTTGAAGCTAACTTCAGCCTTGCTTCATAAACTGGGAACGGTGGCTGAAAGTGAGGCCAGGCATGCAGGGATTCTACAGAGTGAGCATCAGAAGTAGATATATTGCCCTGCCATCAACTCACCTGCATTACACTACATGAATTGTGGACGTATGCAAAATTAAGCTAGCTAACTTGTTAATGCTAGCTAACGCTACCTTCCCAAACAAAGCCCCATCTGCTGATTTTACCAGCTGGCTACCCAGCTCACTGTGTCAGACACACATACCAGGCAATATGCATTTTTAAAAGAAAAGCAGGACGTTAGACGACCTTAGAGAGCTGATTTCAGTGGAAATATGTATGACAGTGCAGCAGCTATTGCCAACTCAGCCACTACAACAAGGTGGCTGTGTGATTTACATGCCTACTTGTACCAGTTGATTGACAGGTTAGGAAGACCATGAAAATGAAAATGCATTTGGTGGATCGAATGCATTTTCAACGGCATTTCGACGCAGAACGAGCGCAGTAGGGGAGAAGATGTGATTGCAAATAGGAAAGGCGCTGTTTCCCATTTACATTTGAATTTTGCCATCTTTCTAGCTTGGCGTTCTCACTGATAACGCAATTTAAATGCATTGTTACGGTGAAAATGCACATAAATAAATCACATTTTAATTAGCATTTTGACACAGTGGTTGCATCATCACATTTAATCTTGATCGAATTACATGTTTCGCTGATTCTTTAAGTAAATATAAGTTAACACTTACTCCACAGGCACTGGTGCAAATTCATGAGGTCTTGTCCCTCCCACATCCTCAAATTACGCAAGATCATTTAGGAGTTGCTGGATTGTTGTTTAAAAAAAAGTACATCATAATCTGTGCTGGAATCGTTTCCAGTACTACTGTTAATTGATCGTTTGTTCACTTATGGCATAACAGTTATTCATATTCTTTCCTTTTTTCTTCTTAATTATCATTATATGTGTCATAATTGGGGTATTTTGCTAAAATATTTATAATATGCAGATTAGACTAAGGATTTTGATGATGCAATGGAAAGAAATTAATGCCATTGTAATAGGCAACAAAATCAAATAATAATATTTAGTTTTGTGGTTATATTGGAATGTGTTAATATAGATTTATAAAGCATGAGATGTCAATAAGTGTAATTTTAGGCATGCCTTGTTTACCAGGTTTTAGGGTTAAATTGCTTTTTGTAAGCTATAGCCTCCTGATAACTACCCCGCCAAAATGTGACTTGTTACCTGTCACCAAGGAGTGCCCAGACGGTTGCACTCACATCCCTTGTTATGAAAAATTTTGAAAAGATTTTGAAAGATATAATTGTCTCTCTTATTGGTTAAAAATTAGATCCTTTGCAGTTTGCCTACCAAGCTGGTAAGGGTGTAGAGGACGCAGAACTTTTTATCCTTGATAGGGTGTATAAGCACCTTGAGAGACCCAAATCTCACGTGAGACTCCTATTTTTCTTCAGCTTTTAATAAGATGCAGCCTCATATTTTGATTGAGCGACTGGCTTCTTATTTTAAATGACCTGATCAGCTGTTGCTTTTAGATTTTTTGACCAATAGAATTCAGCAAGTCCAGGTGAATGGCTGTATGTCCAGCACCATAGTCTCAAATACGGGTACATCTCAGGGTTGTGTCCTGTCCCCTTTGCTTTTTATTATGTACACGGACAACTGCAGGACATCTAGAGAGGGCAGCTGTCTTGTAACGTTTTCTGATGACACTGTATTATTGTCTCTTCTCCAGGGTTCAGTCAGATCATGGTTGTGCTCTTCCTGCCTTTGTTACGTGGTGTGATGAGAACTTTCTTGACCTTAATGTGTCAAAAACTAAGGAATTAATCATCGATTTCAGGCGAAATAAAAAGGAACCAAAAGCTAGTGTCATACATGGAAAAGACATGTGGACACACAAGTACTTAGGAACAGTATTTCTGCGAATTCAGAGCTGGTTGTTAAGAAGGGTCAACAAAGAGCTCATTTACTGTGTAGGCTGTACTCTTCATGTTTGTCATACGGTGTTGTATAGTTTTTATAAGACATATATTGAAAGTGTTATAACTTTTTTTGTTTATTTGTTGGTTCAGTGGGCTGTCAGTGAGGGACAAGAATAGCCTGAATGGCGTTGTAAAAATCTGTTCAAAGATAATTGGAGTCCAACAGGGAGACCTGGGCTCCCTGTGGGAGAAACAAGTGGCTCAGAAAGCAAAAGGAATTATCAATCTGATCATATTTTGTCCAGTGAATTCACTGTAATGTCGTCAGGTCGGCGTTATATGGCCCCCCCCCCCTCAGTAGAACAAATCACTATTCCAAGTCTTTTATTCCTTCTGCTATCAAGCTACTAAATGCAGGTAATAGTCTTTTTAAATGATTGTTATATTCGTTGTCAGTGCATTGACTCCTCATTTATTTATTTATTTACCTATGTATGTGGATTTGGTGTCTCTGACATATCTAAGGGGTTTTTTTTTATGTATGTATGTATGTATGTATGTATGTATAGTTGCGCGTATGGATGGGGAAAGCTGCAAATGAATTGCCCTTTTTGGGACTAATAAAGTACTCTGAACTGAACTGAACTGAAATCCTCTTCATCACCTCGGTAAGATATCTTGGTTAAACTGTCCCAGTTTGGTGCTATCAGTAATGAATTGTTAATCGATAGAACGAGTCCTCTCAAATTCTCCACTTGTAGTCCTGACGTTACTTTTTAAAGAACCTGTTTCACTCAATAGCAGCCGACATACGTCGGATAGTAAACACGTCAATCATGCCGGATGTTTTCCTAAGAAATTAAAAACTGCAGTTGTGACGCCGCTTTTAAAAAAGAAGAATATAGAAGCAACTCTGGTGAGTAATTACAGACCGATTTCAAATCTACCTTTCATTGGAAAAATTATTGAAAAAATTGTCTTGAAGCAACTTTATTGTTCTCTGTCCTAAAATCACTGTTTAGACAAATTTCAGTCAGGTTTTCGGCCTAATCATAGTACTGAGATGACTCTAACTAAAGTTATTAATGACATTTGTTTAAATACAAGCTCTGGAAAAAACATCTGTTCTACTACTGCTTGATCTCTGTCTTTGATACCATTGACCATAAAATTCTCAAATTTTAAGATCATAATAAAATAGATAGAATTGAACTGGGTTGGGCTCACAGGAACTCTCCTAAAATGGTTCAGTTCACACATGCAAGGAAGGGACTACTTTGTGGAAATAGAAAATAATGTTTCTTTAGTGAGTGCCAGTGACCTGTGACCTGTGGTGTCCCCCAGGGTTTAATTCTCGGGCCACTCTTTTATTTAAATTATATTTGGTACCTCTTCTTGGCCAAATACTACAAGACTATGGGATATCTTACCACAGCTATGTAGAGGATACTCAGATCTACCTGGCCCTCACCCCAAACAACTATGGTCCCCTTGACTCACTTAAAGAGAAACAGAGAAATCTAAGGAAATAGTACATAACAGTGTTTAATGGACACCGTTTTATCAGTTGTGTCAGTGCAGTCTCTAAATCAGCTTTTTCATTAACCTTAAGAATATCAAGAAGATCAGAGATGTTCTTACTAAAGCAGACCTGGAGAAACTCATCCACACCTTTATTTCTAGCAGGACTGATCACTGTAATGGTCTCCTAAC